GTGGGGGGGGAGGGGGGGGGGGGGGGGGGGGGGGGGGGGGGGGGGCTTGCAGCCTGGATCTCGGGGTCGCGGAGGGAGGGCGGAAAGGGAAGGTTGCTTTCGCTTTCGCTTTCTCCGCGCGGGCAGGGCCGCCGCCTCCCCCCCCGCCTTCCGGATCGTGCTCGCTAGTGGGGCCTTTAACCGGTAGAGCCGCTTCGGGTTCCCCCCGCGCCCCCACCCCCCGCCCGAGAAGGCCGTCGGTGAGACTGAAAGCGCGAATCTCCCCGCTGCGTTTTTCTTCGTTGAAGCTTCCGAGTTAGAGGCAGGAACATTTTTTAAAAAATAAACAAACATAATTCCTGATTTTCTGGTACTGAGATTTTTTTTCGTCATCACTTCAACCTGGAAAAACCTTTTTAAAAGATACCCACCAGCTGCGCTCACTAACAACCGAGAGAGAAAAAATAAAATCCGAAAAGTGGGATAATCTGATTCAACCGAGAACGAATCTCGTTCCGGACTTCCTTGCTGGGTAACCGAGAAAAACCGTTTCGTGGCCTGTGTCGTTGATTCCCTTCCTTCGGGCCTGCCAAATATTTTCGAATATAGTTTATCTTTTTAAAAGTTGAGGGACTTTTGTGTCTCGCCTTTAGATCCGATACAAACAAGCTTATTTGAAGGAGCTTTTAAGGGGTCGCCATATCAATTCAAGTCCAACCAGACAGTAAACAAGTTTCTAGAACGAAATGAAGAATCGCAGATGCTCTTCCAAAATGTCTCCGGGTTCGAGGAGGGGGCGGCGGTTCTTAAATAAATTTTCGGGGCTGGTTCGACTCCTGCAAACCTCTGGTCTGCCATTCACATTCCTTGACAACTGAAAGGTTTACTAGGACTCCAAAGGCGGCTTCGATCGCTTGTAACGCGAATCGAACCCTTGTGGCGGTGCAGCCCTTCCCAGGCAGCCACCCTTCGGACCCGCTGGACCAGGCTCCCCCCACCCCCCACCCCCATCCACACACACGCGCAAACACACCTCAGCTCCACTCCCCCACAAGTAAATCCTTCGCTAAATAATGAAGGGGGCAGGATCAGTTGTGGGGTCCCTCTTCGCCTGCTTCGCCCCGACGTCCGTGGTCGTTTAGGCGGGACTAAGAGAGCTCCGGTTCCGTTCGACGGGAATGTCCCCAGCGGAAGGGACCTGGCTGGGCCACGGCCGTTTCTCGAAGAAGCTCCGGAGAGGCGCTTCGGTTCTCCCACGCGGGGCCGAGGACGGCGAGCAGCGGGCCGGGGCTGAGGTTTTGGCTAGAGCCTTCCTCCAAGGGACTCGGTTATGAGGCCCCGACGCCCAGAATGTGGCCGGGCTCGGGGGAGCTTCCCCCGCTTCTAACCTGCTCGGGACCCGCCCCACCGCTCCGGGTCGCTCCCTCGGGTGGGCTCGGGGGAGAGCGCCCCCGAGCTTCCTGGGGCGCAGGAGCTTCCACTCGGGGCCAGTGGAGGCCTCTGCGCCTCTCTTCGCTCAGCCCCCCAGGAACCGGCAAGGATGAGGGTTACGGGTGTCCCTCACCCCGAAACTTCCCGTCCTCCCCCCAGAACCGTTTTTTCCGGGTCCCGCGGGCCTCCCCGTCCCGGTGCGAAAGTAGGCGCTGTGCGTGGGGAGTTTGGGAGGCTGAGGACGGGCAGAGGAAGCTGCGGTGCGTGGCGGGGGCCGGGACGGAGCAGTAGCCCCGCGGTTCTCGTTTCCCTTTTCCCACAGCTTCTTGCACGGACGCAGCGGCGCTTGGGGACCGAAGGCCGCCGCTGAGCGCACTTAGGCCAGGCAGCGAAGGGCACCGAGCCCGCCTTTCCCGGGATGGGGCAGAGGGGCCACCTGGGAGGGCAGCCCGGCTCGTCTGAACTCTGCCAGCACCTTGGTGTCGCCCCCCCCCCAAGCAAAACCCAGGAAAAGAGATGGGGGGGGGGTTAAGGCCCAAAGCTGGAAACGGGGAGAGCTGAGTTCTAGTCCCGCCTGAGGCCCTGAATCCGGCTGGGGATGATGGGCCAATCCTTCTGCCCCAGCCCAGCAAGGCAAAGCGTCCCCCCCCAAAACGCTGCCTAGCAAATTGCAAGGGGGTGCCTAGGCGCCTCCCCCCAACACACACACACACAGACACTCCAAAACAAGGCAAGAGTTAAGGCCCAGCCACGGGGCTCTCTCAGCCGGGGGACCCCTCGAGGCAGCCACAGAGTCCAGCTCAGGCCTGGTGTGGAGCCCTGGGCCACCCCAGGTGGGGGCTGGAGGGGGGGGCTCCAAGAGAAAGCTCCTTGGGGCGCCCTGGGGCGGGGGAGAGTCCCTCCCAGCGGCTGAGACACCTGCCGGCCTTTCCAGGTGATCTGCAACTGTCGCCCCCCCCCAGGGGTCTCTCTGCATTGCTCCACCCTGCTTTCTTGAGCCCCGCCCCCCATTTCACCAGCTGGGAGATCAGCCCACCCCACCCCCCCCCAGGCTGTGGGGCTTCAGCTGCCTCCATGTGGACTGGGCTATGCGGCCCTGGAGACACCTGGCTTCTTGCAAGCTGCCCACCCAGAGGTGCCAGCAGCCCTTGGCTGTCCTGCCTTCCCGGGATCTCCTGAGGATGGGGGGGGGGCCAGTTGGCCAAGAACTTGGGGCCGCCTGTGTCTCAGGTGGGTCACTGAGCACCGGAGGCTCCAGGGGAGAAGTACAACTTTGGGGGAGAGCCCCCCACTTCCTCCCCCCCAGGGTCGCCAGGGGTGCAGCTCAGAGACCTTTAAAAGAGAGGGGGGGGAACCTCCTGGCTCCTCCCTCACTGGCTGCCTTCATCCTGGCCCTCCCCCACATGAAACCTCAACTGAGCCCAGCATTTCGGTTGCCAAGCGAGACAGTTGTTCAGTTTATTTTGCCTCACTTTAGGACCTTCCTTGCCACCGTTGTTAAGTGAATCACTGCAGTTGTTAAGTGAATCTGGCTTCCCCCCATGGACTTTGCTCGCCAGAGAAGGCAGCCAAAAGGGCCCCAGGCAACCACCATTAAGTATGAACCAGTTGCCAGGGGTCCAAATTTTGACCACTGACCTCTTGAGATGCCGCAACGGTTGTGTGCAAACTGACCATCCGTCGCTTTTTAGTGCCCCTGTAACTCTGAACGGCCACTAAACCCAAGGACGGCCTGTAGCTCTT